TGTGTTGATTACTCCTATGAATTAAGAGAGCCCAGATTACTTTTTTTTCTGTATGTTTTAAGGAAAGACAATACTAAAAAAAAAAGAAAAGAGAGAGGCAGTGAACATGCAGGAATCTCCAGTGAATATAAAAATCAGTTCCATTTCCCAAATCCAGGGCTAGCCCCTGGCTGAACAGCAGAGGGAAACTGTAGTACCATGAAACCAAAGCTCCTTCAAGTAAGAGCTGCAAAGAAGATATTTGTTCTGTGCTCTATTTAAATTAATTATATTTAAAGATAGCTGTTTTGTACTTCTTCAGTGGTAACCAGTGATGAAAAAACAAAATCCTGTCCATTTTCTCCCTGGTCTAAATTTTGCTACTACTGCACTGCAGATTAGAATGTCCAGCCTCGGTTTGTACACATCCCTTCCTCTTTGAAAACTTATCACTCCAATTACCTGCATGGTTTGAAATGAACATTAAGTTGCTAGTTATTAGTAAGCCAACTGGGACAGATGGCTACTAAATGAGATATTGTAGTTGTTTGTTTGCAAAGCTTAATTTGCTTTGCATTATGCTAAAAACATTTGCTATTGGCTTGATTTCAAAACTGATGAGCATCCAAAATGCTATTGAACTCAGTGCTTAATGCTTGTGAAACACAGGGCTTGTGCAAAATGCAATATATGATTTCCTTCCAACCACATGTCAGCAGTCTCAAAGTAACTTGCAATTTTTACATGATAACTTTGAATTTTACTTTTCCTTTGTATATTTTTTGGTACGATATGGTATCTCAAAGGCTCTTAACAGTCATGTGGCCTGTGGGATGGGTCAGATTGCTTTCCTGTGGAACTCTGTCAACAGTGGCTCTATGTAATTAACCCCAGGCAGAATTTGAACCTAGCAAAGATATGGTGGGACCAGTATCTTGCAAAGTTCTATCAAAAGATCTATGAGAACATGTGGTGTGAACTAGAGGTTATTGTCAGTACCAGGAGGGATGTGATTGTTCTTTTCAGGAAAATCCCATGCCCTCTCCATCTTTCATTTGGAAAGGATCAGAAGCTGCCCAGAGATCTTTATGAAGAGCTCTCATGAGAATGATGACACTCCACAAGGGCATGTTCACAGGGTCGACCAGGAGCTTCTGAGCACACCTGTTACACTGTAGGGCCTGTTTGAAATGCCCCCACCTCACCCACCCACCCTCCCCCACCTGTGCCTCACCTGCTGCCTGACCTGCATGTTCCCTTAGGCGCCACAGGGGAACAAACATAAATAATAATAATAATGGCCAGTGTTTCCTCCTTAAAGCACTGAGCACCAACTACAGCCAAACTGCTCCCTTACAAGAGGCCTTGAGTGTTTTGCCAGTTGGCTTCATTCTTGGCCAAGTCACCGCACTGAGAGGGACACCTCAGGAAAGCAGCAAAGTTTGCCTTTTATCTTCCTGCTCTGACATTGCTGCAGTTACTGGCTTTACTGAGAGTAAATGGCAAACAAAATATTTGTGTGTTCCAAGATTTTTCAAATGCTCCCTTCTTCCCTTTTCATTTTGGCACAGTGCTATTGATAGCACCCAACAGGCCAGATTATTTAACTACCACAATACCCCATAGCAAATGCATGACACACCATACACTTTTTCTTTTCCTTACTGCATATCACAAAAGGTAACACTAGGACTCAAACAAAAACAAATTACCTCAGTAACTCCTGGAAAACTCAAGTGGTTAATCAGTTACCTTTTATTTACATATATATGCTTAATGCTGAATTAAGTTGTAAAAACCAAAGGCTGATTTATAGCCCCAGTCAGCCTTAATTAACATCGATTCCAGGGGAATAGTAAATGTGAATAGCCTTCACAATTGAGGTTGAACAATGAACTCACTGGGTGTTGTCCAATTTTAGCATGATTTACATGGAAGCAAGCCCTTCTTTTTCCAGGGTTACCCCTTTTTTATCTGGTGTTTAGGATGGGTTATATATAATCCATAGATAGGAACATTTGCTGTCAAATATTCTCCCTGATTTAGAGCTAGCCTTCACCATGGTCACTATAAATAAGGCAGAAAAAAACCCTATTTGAGGCTTTGCAGGGATTCCTTGTTCTTGCAATGTGTCATCGCTTCTCCATTCCATGGCATTTTTACGAAGTGGCCATAATGAAAGTCAGATTAAATGTACAGGATATATACGTTTAATCAACAGCCATTGGAGTCAGTAGTGCTGGAAGAGTTATAAAAGCCCCTATGAATGCAAATTTATTGCAAAAGAATCTGTGTCTTGGTGGTAGGAATATCTGCTGAATGGTACTACCTGACACAGAACACCTAAAACTTTCAAAAGTGAATTGTTTAAGTGCAAGGTTTTGCTTGTAAAGACGCCAGCTGCTGGATTTCAAGACTTGAAACTGTTCCAAAACATGGGCCTAGGTACTTTATTTGTGCACTAGAGTAAATACTCTGATTTTACTGCCAATTTAAATGTGCTCAGTTTACAGTAATGAGCTTGTATAGGCAATACCTTGTTTATAGAAAGTGGAACAGGAAGAAACTAACATTAACCATTAACAGTAGCAATTTCTCTTGCCTTCAGCTCTAATTTTATGCCAAATAGATCCTTCCCACGTCCTATCTGAAATATTTACTATTACTGTTCTTTTTCAAAATCTGTGGGATGAATGGAGCATTCAGTAAAATAACTTTTCCTTCCAGCCGATTTGAATTGCAACACTCGTTTGTAATTCCAAAGCACTATTTCTCATTAGTATGATGAAATGTATTTTAAGAACAAATATGTGTCCTGTGCACTAGCAAACCTGATGATAGGTGTTAATCCCAGCTGAATGGAGTTAGAATTTTTTAATCCTTTTGAGAAAGTACAGACCACTTCTGGAAGGGAAGTACTGAATTGCGGTTGCCACGACTTCTCAGGTCCTTGTACTCAATTGAACTGTTTTATTCTTTCAGTACAGCTCACACGAGAAGCCTATGTGTTTATGTACATACTGTCACCTTAAACAAACATGCTTGCATCTCCTCTGGCCATCTGCTCCTGAAGCTGCAAGCTTTTCTCCCTTCCCCTTCCTCCTCAGCACCCCCACACATGCTGGGTGCAGAGTTAACTCAATGAAAGGCATGGCAGTAAAATCCTTCCTCCACACAGGTCACAGATCTCAGTTTCTCTTTTTCACTTACAGTCTACAATGTGACAATAATACACTGGAGGATTTTGGCATATGGTGTTAATCACTGGAGATAATACTGGAGATTCTTTCACTATCTTATTTTAGCTGGTTTAGCTCCAAAATGTCCTAACAGGGACCAGTACTTGGGTTTACCAAATGGTGTGATCACTGAGCAGGAAGGCACCAGCAGGTCTGAGGAGCTTAAAGTCCAAGGACACGAACAGGTTCAGGATAAATGCAACGTGCAAAGAAAGCGATGGGAGTGGTGTGGTAGGTCCTGGGTTCAGCAACCTCTGAAAACCTAAACAAAAGAGTGGGAAAAGTAAAAACAGAACAGAGTCTGGAATGGGTGGAAGGGCACATAGCAGAATGGCTGAAGCTTGAGGTACAGGAAAGATGAGGAAACACAATAATAGCAAAAGCATCCATAAAAGCAAAAACTCGTGTAATTGTTGCTCTGTACAGTTGCTCTATCTCCAGGCTCTGGTGCAGGCAGACAAAGGTTCCCTCCACACATGTCCTCAGACAGCAGTACATGAGGCAGCTCTGAACCAGCAGCTGTTCACTGCAGTTAGTGTGGCACTGAGCCTGAGCTAATAAGCCCTGCTGAAAAGAACACAGCTACAGGGCTTCCATTTGGCTTGGAGAACAGGCTGAGTGAGCTTGTGTCTGGTGAATGAAAACTCAACAGACATATCTGTGCCTTCATGTGTAAAAAGATGGTCTAGTTTCTACCACCTGAGTATGGTTTCTACCACCCAGTATTGGAACTGGAACTCCTCAGTCTTTCAAAGGGTCCCAGTCTCTATAAACACAGCCCCATATGCAAAAAAAATAAAATAAAAAAGGGGTAGTAAACATTCCTTCTTTTTAGATGTGAACTCCTGCCTCCAATGAAATAAGGAGTAAAATTCCCATTTATTTCAATGAGGACAGAACATTCCCTTACACATTTGAAGTTGTATTTCATGGAATACAATGAAAGTACATTGATACCTGAACTCCAAGAAATCCTTATAGTGCCTGGACTTTTTGAACACCTTTGTTCTTAGAAGGATTTAAAAGACAGGAAGAGTCTGAATACCTGGAAAAACTTTCACTCTCATTTTCCTGGAGTGTTTGCTAATAAATAATTGCATCCTGCTCTTGAAAGTCATTCAGTAGGAAATAACTGACATGTATACAGCTACCAGTAAAAATCTACTTTAAATAAACTCATTTGTCATTACCTTTCTCAAGGCAGCTGTTGTCAGCACCATTACCATTCAAATTTGTTTTGCCTTTGACAATTAAGATGATATCAACAGTGAGAGAATTCAACAATTTCCATTGTTCCAAGCAGATAAGCAAGTTAGTTCTGTGCTGCAAGCCATCACTGTTGCCATAATTAACTGACTGTGTACTGAAGAACTGTGATGTTTGAGATTATTCAGCCTTGACTGGATTGTATCAGTGACTAAATGTTTACTTACTGAACTGAATGATTACTCCAAATCCCTGTCTTGTCTCCAGCAGTTTCAAGGCTTTTTGTCTGATACAGGTACTTCTTTTTTTAGTTTATCTGTTACAGTTTTTGCATCAAATTTGAATGTGAACCAAGTTATTTGGAATTTGATGTTGCTTCTATAGTGACACTGCTACAGAATACAGAAAGACATGGGGCTGACCTCAGCCTGAATGCTTGAGAACTGTAATTTTCACAGACATAAATAAGTTTTAGCTCTTTTGTATTAGAATCTGCAGCCTTTCCCGGGAGCTTGTTGTTATATACATCACAGTTTGCTCACACAGGAGGCCTGATGACTTCTCTTCCTTTTCTAGATTTTCATTAATAATGAATGGCAGAATTCCGAAAGTGGGAGAATATTCCCAGTATATAATCCAGCAACAGGAGAGCAGATCTGTGAGATTCAGGAAGCTGACAAGGTAATTCATCCCATGAATGGGTATATGTATAAATGAAAGGTATAAATAGTTCATATAATAGATAATAGAAATTTATAAATAGATCAAAGCAACCAGTCCAGGATAGAACTGTTGGACAGTTCTTTTATTGATCATAGTTCCAAAACTCATCGTCTGACGAAGGTCGTACAACAGCAAATTTCATAAGCCTGATTATGTTATTTACCTTTGTGCCTTCAGTTTTTTTGTTTCTTCTTCACAGGCTGATACGGACAAAGCAGTGAGGTCAGCCCGGCTTGCTTTTTCTCTGGGTTCTGTTTGGAGGAGAATGGATGCATCGGAAAGAGGTCATCTTTTGGATAAACTGGCAGACTTGGTTGAGAGAGACAGGGCAATTCTTGCTGTAAGTGGCACAAGAAAATCAACAGTCAAATCATTTGTCAGTTTTATATTCTGAGAGCAAATTGGTGCATGAATGTGTTCATCTGAGTTGTGTTTAAAAGCCACACTCAGCCTCACGGCTGAGATGTCTGGCTGTCTACTCACACCCTGATCCAAAGCACATAAAAGTCAACAGGAGCCTTCCAGTGGGCTCAAATGAGCTTTAAATTGGACAAACTGGACATCACAAGGATGCAGGGGTGTGCACACACATCTATGCCTGCACTTCTGACTTTTCTAGAGTAAAAAATGCCAGACTAAGTGATCGGTGCAGCCACTCCCAAAGTGGCAGGTGAAATGCTCGCCGACACTCGGGCGGGGACACGAGTTCTGGGCACGGCACTACTTCGCTGTTGGATGAAGCCATCGAAACAGTGGCATTGTTAATGTTGTTTTCCGCATGTCAGCTACTCTGAACTAAGCCGGAGAACATCTTAATTCCAGCTTTGTCAACACTTAAATCATCTTACCACCGGCGTATACTGTAAAATCGCCACAGGGAAAAGGAAGTGCACAGCAAATCAAGTTTACTCTGCCTGTCATTTGATTTTTATTTCTGAAGCCAAGTTCTTTACTGAATTGCACTGCAGGCAATGCCATTAATTGCTCTTGGGGATATAAGTCAGTGCAGAATTAGGCCTCCATTCTTCTCTATAGAAACTCATTTGATGGTTGGTGTGTTACACAGGGGCGTCCTTTGCCCATTCTTAACGATTTCTGTTAGACAGCTATTGAGAATAAGTTAAGCTTCTCAACATCTTAGGGTATTTTATTGGATTCTTTTTGCTAAATGATCTTAGGAATCCCTCAGAGGATAGCTTATAAGATACTTTTAAAAACTAGGAATATTAACTTAAAAATAAGGACATTAGCTTGTTAATTTATGAGCTTCCCTAGAGGAGAGTTTGTTTATTTGATGGCAATAAATAAACTGGCTGTACAGTATAGATATCTCAGACCTCAGCAGGAGTCTTGGCAGCCATATAGAGAAATTTTTATATTCACATTAATTATATAAAGAGGGATATGTCCATTCTTCTCTTTATGGATTCAGATCGTTAATAAGGGGTTACAAGGAGCCCCTTCTCAGCTGTTATCATTAACATAACAGAACCTGGTTTGACAGGCATTTTTATCTTGGCTCCTGATTAAAGCAATTCAGCATTTATAGATCTGGACCAAACACAGTGGCTATTAGGTTCAAAATATACAAAGGCACATGCACATGCATGTGGATACACACATAAACCCACAAGACAGACAGATAAACAAACACACATAAACACACACATGTTCCTTAAATCACAGCCATTCCAGAATACTCCAGAAGAGACCACTTTTTTTTTTAAGGAAAATGTTTTTTGTTCACATTTGCAAAAAGAAGTAACAAAGGGGATCAAATAATTGTTCTGAAACTTCTGGGGTAAAACTATGCCAAGATGTAACTGGCTGGTCCTCTTTAAAATCTTTGTCATGACTGAAGAGCTGTTAAGGTGGTGAATACTGAAGTACAATAGTCCAAAAATGTTACTGTGCTTATATCTCTTAACTTTTTCTTGTCCTCCAGACTATGGAATCCCTGAACAGTGGTAAACCCTTCTTGCAAGCTTTCTATGTTGATCTCCAGGGAGTCATAAAAACCCTGAGGTATTATGCCGGTTGGGCAGACAAAATCCATGGAATGACCATTCCTGTAGGTAAGGGGAATTAAAGCACTTAAACCTCCTCATGGCCACATGGCTTAATAGGTTACAGCTTCATGGAATGGAGAAGAGAACCTTGTTTTGATCTTACAGTGTGTAGTGTGTTGCTGAAGCAGATGTTTGAAAGTCAGAGGTTTGAAAGATGCCCTGCTGTTGTTCTGCCCGACGTGCACATCTCAAGAGTGCCTGGTTTCTTTTGCATGTGACCATCTGAGAAGGGGACAGCTCAATACCTACATTTAAATACTGAGACACATAAAAATGGATGCAGTATAAACCTGACAAATACATTGGAACTCATGAAAATAGTATTAACTGCCTGTTAAAGAAACAGTATGTTTACATATAGGTCTTGTTTAAATGTATCTTCTTATTGCTTATGCAAATAATTTTACTTGGGACTAACATTGGATCTATATTAATTTATACTTTGAAAGAGGTGGTAATGTTACTATACAGAACTACACACATATCAGATATGTTTTGTTAAATATGCTTCTTCAAATTATTCAGTGAGATGAGTTTTTTATTGTAAGTATGAGATAGATCTTTATGAGTTCTAGGAAATTATTATGTTCTTCTTTTTTGCCAAAGAGATAAGAAAAAAGGCTTACCATTATTTTTGTTTAAAGAGTCTCTTCCTCCTGCCCCTCCCTCCCAACTGTTTAACAAATACAAGCTGCATTTTCGATGCAAAAATATTCATTTGCAGTCTGGACTAGATGTAGCAAGTGCTATAATTATGCAACATGGCAAAATAGCAAAGGTAGGTGCAGTCATTAAGATAAATGTAGTCATCTTTCCCCCGCATAAAATCATTTTTTTTAAAAATATTAAGGAAAACGAACATTCGTTCTCTGGGTTCTTTTTGGCTTCACAGTGCACGCTGTTCATTGCATAAGCATGTTAGGCACACTCCGAGGTGAATGGACTTTGGTGTTGCCCACCTATTTCCCTGGTGTTACACTGTGTAACACGATGTCTGCAGTGCACTCATTTGCCTCTGTAGAACAAAGCATGAAACTATTTAAGACAGACAAGCAGATAAATTGAAAATGCACGCCTAAAATTTTCAGAAGGAAAACAGATCATGTAACCCTTATTGCAGCGTTACTTATTGTGATGTTTCACCTTATTAAAACTGCAATGTGTTTATCAGCACTAGTTTATTTTCACCAAAGAAATGACAATATTATTATTTCAGGTGTAGATTCTCCTGCAAGGACTCAAAGATTTCCACAGTCATTTAGGCTGAGATTCGTAAATCCCGTTTTTGCTGCTTGCACTTCCCATTTAATCATACAAAAGTGCAGACTACACCATAAATTCGTACATTCAGCAAATTTCCTGTCCCCTAATCTCTTACTCCCTGGTCACTGAATGCCTCCTTCTCACTCCTTAGCCCTGCAGGTACAGAGAAATTAGGTCAGTCACCAAAAGCCATTACCAGGTTAAGGAGAATAAATATTCTCTGCTTATTCTTTTTTTCAATTGCTGTATAGGATAAAAACCGATTTTTTTTTTTTTCAGTGAGGAGGGTTATGCTGGGCAAAAGGAAGGCACATTTTCAGCACACCTTCCTCAATGCAAACTCTGTGTTAACACAGTTATCAGTAGTGTTGAATCATAGGTCCATTCACAGATTTTCAGGATACCAATTAGTTCTTCCTCTTGCTTTAACACTCCTCCTTATCCATCTAGTTTCACATCATAAATTTGTCATTCTCATAAAGCTATTTTAGAGCAAAGCCAGTGCTCTTTAAGTTCACTTACCACCAGCTCATCAGTTAAACAAACAAGACAACAAAACCAAAATAAAAACATGATTAAATCTCCTTTTTCTGTTCAGAGTGCTAATAAATCAGAAACCTCTCAATCTTTCATCTGTTTCTGTTGAGGCTTTCTTTTCCTCTAAAATAAAAATAGTCAAGTGATAGACAAGTAGAAGAAGAACAGTGCATCTTATAGTCACATTCCTTTTGGTCCCAGAGCTACAAAACCTTCAGACTGCCCTTTGCTTGCTCCCATGTGTAAAGCCTTGATGATTTAAATTAAAACAGAATGAGGCTGGACTAGAAACTGTTAAACTAATAAACTGAATGCAAACAGAAATGTATCTTTAAATCAATATATGATATGATACAGTTTAAAGAACCAACTCAGCTCTCCTCACCCACTTGTTTGCTGTGTCCTGCTACATGAGGCATGGGACTGTATGATGGTTGTTATGCAAATAAAATATCCAGGATGGAGACTCCTGATGGAAATCTGAGCAAACACATCTGTGGAAGATATTGCTGTCCCAGAGTGAGATCCCTGGATAAATGGAGTTTGCTTTCTGATTAAAAAATTAAAGTCTTTGGGCCAGGTGCTAAGCAGCTGCAAATTGATCTTGCTCTATTAATATTAGTGAGGACTGAAGAATGTCAGTTTACATCAGCTGAGAATATTAACAAACCCTTTTAACACAAAATTTTAGATTGTATGTGGGATCAGTGTCAGATTCCTCTCAGGCAATGTTCTTCTGGAGGCCAGCTAGTAAGATAAGAGTAACAACCATCAACCATAGCACCTTAGAATAAGTGTGATTAGCATGACTTGTATAAACTAATCTTAAAACTCTAAAACATTTTAAGTTTCCTATGTAAGTTTTAAGCACAAGGGAGCTTTCTGTGCTCACTGTTTAGAATAAGAGATTCACTTAATTCTTGAGTTATTTCACCATGGGAACAGCTTGTTTTACACTGTGGGCAAGGTAGTCCTTAGATCCATCTTTGACCTGTCCAGAGACATCCAAGGCTCCTGAATAACTTCAAGTCACATATGTTCCCAAAGATATTGTTAGAAAGCAACCTCAAAAATCCCATCTTGACAGTAAGTCCGTGGATGATGAACTTTGGAAGTAGGTGTCAAAAAGGGCAGCTGTCTGGAGCCTAGTGGAAGACAGCAGGGAGAGCAGCTCTGCATGGGAGGTACTGCTCCACAGAAAGAACGTTCTGCCCACATTGGGAAGGATTAACCACCATTTGTCTGAGCTGGCAAGCAGGTCCAGGTTATCTATAACTTGTGTTATGAAGCACACAGACAAGTGGCACTGATTATGCCGTGACAATCTAAAGTCAGACAGTGCTAACGTAACTGTGTTACTGTTGTGTTGCCACCATCCTTCTGGCTAAGAACCCACCTCTCAGTACTACCCAGTACCAGCTGGTATTTTTAGCTGACTCTTCTGTAAGCCTCTCGAGCACTTAGGCAGTTTTGCTTGTATGTACTTCTCTGTATTTCAACTTCACTTCTGTCAGGGCTGATGAATTTTCCTATGGTCTGTGGACCACTGCTAGCATCTGTGAACAGTAGAATGGAAAACCAAACTGATCATCTCAATCTGTGACACAAATATTCTCATCTCCACTGGGAAGTTGATTCAGAGATCAAAATGGTAAAACAATGTTTTGTCGATGCAGAGCAAATCAACTGTTAAGTATTTTTTTCCACCTTTTCCTGATGTGAATCTCTTTTGTCTCTTTCCCTCCCTCTTTTACTTCCTCTGCTGTGTCCTTTGTCTTGGATGCAGACTATTGTTACCTTTCTCATAATTATCTGTATCTGGCCCCCAGCTGATGCATTAGCTCAGGTTTCTACTGAGCAAATCCCATAAAGCAGATGGATAGAAAGAAGCAGACCTGAAAATAAGTTATTTCTAATCAAATTCAAGTTGAAGTCTTTTCTTAAACCCAAGAAACTTTGTGGATTAACCTGTTTATTGTTACCAGGTGGAGGACATTGCAGCAGGTTCCCCAAACACTGTCCATTGTGAGTTAGGTCCTTCCCCAGTATTGAACAAGGGTGGCTCCAGCTCTGGACTGAAAGGGGCAGAGGCCGTGGCTGCCTGACACTTCACACCCCGGGAGGAAAAGCACAGACCCCTGCCTTGGACAGAACAATGGGAGCAAAAGCCCTGCAATCTCTCCTGCTCCTCTTACTCCCTTCCGCTGTCTGACCCTTTCTTATCCTGGTAAATCATCTCCTGCCATTAAGCCTATGCAACCTTCTCATCATTCTCACATACTTAGTTGAAATGATTTTCCAAGTTAAGAGATTCCATTTTTTCTAGATGACCAAGCACTGCAGGCCAAGGGGCACATTCACCTCATGCCTTTAGCATAGCCCTTGCCTTGGCTATAGCCTCACTGAAAAACATCTGACCTAAATTCAGGGCTGCCTTATACAGTTACAAGACTCAATTTAGGTACAGAAGTGCTGTATATCTACTTTGCACACATGAAGGCCAAGCACACTAACAAAGCTGCTGGTTAGACCGTACCTTAACTGATACCTTAACCAGTCCCCACCCAGAGCAGGTTGTTTTCTGGCTCTTTGCCAATTGAGAAGAAACCTCCGTGGTTTCTAAGGCTGTGTAACTTCAGCATGTGCTCCCAGACCACAGGCTGGAGCAGCAACCACGTGCAGTTTGTGACAGAGACTGAACTTCCATCAGCCCCCATGGCAGTCACTTATCCCAGCCGTGCTGAATGGGCTGCTTGGAGCAGGGGCCATGTGAGTGGATCCCACAGACCACGGGCCTGACCCCAAATCACAAATCTGTTTATTCCATGACCTGACTCAGGCTGCCCTGAGCTCAACAGTTGTTAAGGACTGCCAATCCCACCTAGCACTCACTTTAACTAGTGATACCTCTCATCTCTGGAGTTTTTTTGCCATTTTTGTCCATCAAGACCTTAAAAATAGTTACCAGATCAGAGAGTTAATTAAGTAATTCATTTCAGCCTCATACCATCCACACCTGCTGTTTGTGACTTTCCTGCACCTTTGTTGTTAGGACCTCAGTCCATATTTCTATTTCTGTCAGAAGTTCATTAAGAAAAGCTCATATTTTCCAAGTTTCCAGTGACTGAGCTCCAGGCCATTTCTGACAAGGTCTTGTACACGTTAGATGGAAAAGCAGGGCTCTGTGATGACCCCTGTATACTCATTAGTGTTGTCTTCTGCAGTGACACAAGTCACAAACTTGCCCCCTTCATTCCACATCTACAGGTTGTGGTGTATCATTCCATCACTTCAAACTGCCTGTGTCCCCAGTGGCAGATGACTTGGATGTCTGCCGTCTCTATTGTCCCACATCTGGTTGTATATACACCTTTATATTGCTGTCTTCCAGCCATGCCTTTCAGGAAATTGCCTTTGTGACTCTTCCTTCACTTCTCTCACTCTTAAAAAGCTGATGCCATTTAGTGGCTTCCATGCTACTGCAAATTTTTGTGCTGTACAGCTTGTTCTCTTTCCCAAGGAACAAAGCAGGTTACTTTCTGAGGGGATGCCTGCTCCCTTTGTTCTTCAGAAAGAACAATTAGGTTGCTCCTGAACCTAGGTTTCCCATGCTGGCTCACGAAAAAACACTTCCATGACTTCTTTATTTCTTTTACTGCCATCAAAGGCTGATCTTTAGAGTTTTTCCCCCCCTCTATTTTAATTTTTTTTTTGTTCTGCCAAGTCAAACTGCACTTGAGAGTAACCATGCTCATCTGCTTCAGATGGAGATTATTTTACGTTTACAAGACATGAACCCATCGGAGTGTGTGGACAGATCATCCCTGTGAGTATCTCTACTAGCACTTTCTATTTATTTTCATTTGAACCAGCTCTCTTTAAAGACACATAAAACATGGTCCTCAGCTATGTGTGTTTTCCATTACGAAAAAAGCTGAGCTCATATTGTTGACATATCTTTAACAGCCTCCCCGCAAATGCTTATTTGAACATGCTAATAGGGTTTAGGCTCTGTTATTAGGAGTTAAGTTCTCAAGTCATAGAATTCTCATGATTAAAACAAGCAAAGCAAAACACAGTGTTAATATGCTGTCAGTGGTTATGGATGTTCACACAACTTATGGAAAATTGATGCTTTGCTGTGGTAGTCTTTCTATTTATTTAGTTTTTACTGTGATTTAACAGGCTCCTCAGTTCCTGGGAGAATGTGATGTATTTTAATTCCATTCTTTCCTGCTATTTCTTTTACAAGGCTGGAGGAGAAAAGGAAACTCCAGGAGACATATCATTACAATTAACATTGTGTAGCTAATAAAAGACATGAAATGTTTATTTGTTGTGAGAGAGAAACACATCATTTTGTCAAACTCAATACTGCCCCTAAACCCCAGTATACACCCTTAATAAAATCTTACTGAACAGTGCATGGGAATTGCACCAAGAGGGTAACTTTTTCAGAAGAACCAGTTAACCAGCTTTGGCAGAAATTTCAGTGGGAGGCTCACATATAGCTAATAAAATATTGTGTGGAAGCTTTTATTCTTGACAAAGCACTGGGGGACTAATCGGGACATTCTCTGAAATTTTTGTTGATGCTGATTTTTTATTTTGTTCATGTTAACCACAAAGCCACTAAACAGCAACATGCAGCAATTCTATTACAAAAGGAGCAGCCAAAACAGATTATTTTAACAATTTTGAGCCCGTTTTCCCCATTTATATTGTTGCTATTTCATGTCTTTGTTAAGGGGTGGCTATTGTGTTCGGCACTCTGTGGAAACCCAGAGAAACAGGCTCAGACTCAGACAGTCTGTGGCTGCACCCATCCTGCAAACACCTACACACTCTCCTCGCCTGGGCCTTATGGATGAAAGATCCCACAGCTTTGTCCCCATTCTTCAGCCAGGCATATGGATAAGGATTGGCTAAATGACAGCCCCAGTGTTGCTGGACATCTCTTAGGCTTGTCTCATTGAGTTTAATTGACAAATCTGTTGACAAAATTCGGTCACAGGCTGGAGATCATGCCAAAAATAGGATTTGTTTAGTTCAGATGTGTAAAACTCTTTGCTCAGGGTTCCCAACCATCTACCACGCATGTTTATTTTTCCCCTCAGCTTTGCCCTCCAAAACTTTAAGATGGCTGTCACAAAATCTATTCTAACACTGCTGCTAATCTCTTATGTATTTCCTCCACAGCTACCAGTCACAGGGTACAGCCCCTGGCCATTGCATCAGCAAATACATTATTACAAAAATAAAATTAAACAGCAAGCCTAGCACTGCACTCCTCATCCTCTTTCACATCCCAGCTTCCATCAAAATGTGCTCTTGGGCAGCGCTGTAGCATAAACAGGGCTATATATTGCCCTATAAAACTCCTCCAAGCTCTCCTTGAATACCATTAGAAGTGCAGGCTGTTAGCACACTGCTGGCCCTACAGCTCCCCTCCCAGGTTTATATACTGGAGATGGAATTAAAACATCACTTTGTCTCCAGAGTTTATAAACAACAGGGGGAGTAAAAAATTTGGTGTTCGGTGAAGGAAAGACAGTTGTGTATTTTTTCAAGTTAGCCAGGGGCTAGAGAGATGTCTGTGAGAGTGGCAGCTGATATGCATCAGGCAGTAACACATTCTGGCCAGTGACTGACTTTTTGTGACTGATATTTTCTATTCTCTTTCCAAAGGGGATTATTGTATGCATTTATAAAACTGATTGTGCAAACACAGTTATTTTATTACTCTGGCATTTCCACTTAACCTGTTAGGATCAGGCCTTGATGTGAAAGGCTCGTTATTTTTATCTTTATCCACATATTTGTGCATCAAAATAACAATCACTACAATTTTGCTGCAGTTAAACAAAGTTGAAAAGAAATGACAATACAAAATTTTATATCATCAAAGAGTTTCTCAACTTGTTTTTTACTGTTGTCTTAATGTCTTCCATATAAATTGCTCAGTATGAAGTCTTCAAGAAAATGAAATGTTTTGACCGAGCATTGACATTTATGGACTTTTTATTGTAACTCCATCAATTAAGGATTATACAATTTTGAGTATAAATTTTTTATCTTAAGAGTTACTCAGGGATAAGAAATTTACATCCAAAAATGCTTCAACTTGAATGAACAGTTCCTTCCAAATGTATCAGAAGCAAGATCTATTTGTCATGGGGGAATTAAAAATGCCAGTTGCAAAACAAGTAAGTGAAAGAAAAAGTTGTGACCAAAAAAGATGAACAGATAACAGAATATTTTTTATGGAGATTGCAGGTGGGGGTTCTATTTCTTTGAACAGGAGAGAAAGAAGTGAAAGGTCACTGTTGTTGCTTTCTTAATGGCAGTAATTAAAAAAAATCCTTGCTTTGTGCTGGGAAAGATTTATGTTAAGGATCAGCCTGAGAAATAAGTGAGGTAGCAGCTTGACATCTTGAAAACAAAACACCACGGCAATATTTTTCCATCTATCAACTTTTTTTTTTTTTTCCTGCAGTGGAACTTCCCCCTGCTGATGTTTGCATGGAAGATTGCTCCAGCTCTGTGCTGTGGAAATACAGTAGTTATTAAACCAGCAGAACAAACACCACTCAGCGCTCTCTATATGGGAGCCCTCATCAAGGAGGTAAGAACAGTTGACAGGAATCATGTCTCTGTCACTCTTGGTAGGGAAGGAACTACCAGCACATGTCTGGTTTAATGTGCTCTCTCAGTTTCCATAGGTCGTGCTTACATTCATTCATTCATTCCTATTCTGACAGGCTGGCTTTCCACCAGGAGTTGTCAATATTTTGCCAGGATTTGGTCCAATTGTTGGTGCAGCCATTGCCTCCCATGTTGGCATTGATAAAATTGCTTTTACTGGATCCACTGAGGTAAGAGGATTCACACAGATATTACTGTAAAATGTGAGCAAATACTTCAGTCCTTGTGCTACATTTCTTACTGTCACTGAGTAAAACAGCTACATCTAAACAACAGTGGTCTGTCCTTCCCAGCTAAACTTACGGACTGCAGCACTTCCCAAGCAGAAAGGGCTCCTTTCCTCCAGCCCCTGCTGTGCTCGGCACCTCAGCACAGGAGATATGCCTGGAAAAATATTGCTGGGATTTCCTGTGGGCTTATGAGGATGTGAATCACATGCAAGTAGGCAGAACATCCCGTTTCTATCACAGCACACATAAATGCTGCTTTAACAGCCATAATTTGTGTATCTTGCTGTACTTGGGGAACAGGGGAGAGGAAGGCGGTAAATTGTGCAAAGTGATGTTGCATATGAGTATATTAAGGATGAGGAGGAGGTCTAAAAAGGAAGGAATGCAGGGAGAAAAAGGGATTGTCCAAGGTGTCTGTTCCCAAAATGATGGAAAGAAGCTGGCCAGAGGATGAAGGGAGTCAGTTGTCTCCTGGATGCCAAAATGTCTTGCTATGAGTCTCTGGTGCAGATGTTACAGAGGAGGTTCACTCTGAAGATGAAGGCTGCAATCTACAGAAAGACTAACCCTCAAAACTCACATCAGGTCTTGCTCTCAAATATGTGCAAAGCTGTCTGTTATCAGGGCTGGGGTGGGGATGACAGAGGTACTCCAGACTGAAGTCACAGGAGAAGGGGCCTTATCTCATTGTCTGAAGGCAGACAGAAAGGAATCTCTGTGGGAGTTTCAGGGCTGGTTATATTTAGAGAGTGCTAAACCCAGCCCTTTTCAATTCAAAACCTGACAAACTATTGTATGGAGGGAGCTAAACCCCAGGGATCCAGTCTCTCTTTGATATGTTTCACTCCCACTCATGACAGTGGAAGGCTTTATGAATCCCAGGGATGCTGCTCTTCACAGTGAGGCAATTTGGGTTTTGATTTGAGTGGATACATTCACTGACCAAGCAGCCCTACTAGATATGTGTGGGTATCTCCCTGGTGGGCCCAGCAATTGCAGAGACCCGCTCAATTATTTCAAATAAATTATTCTCGGGGAATTATACTGTATTTGAGTGTGAAAGTCACACACAAGCCTAAATTACCAGTAAAATGTAGTTGCACTCATATGCTTAATTTGCACACAAGTGTTTTGCAATTACTGTATGCCTGTACATGATTTTTTAATGGCAATTTTAGATTCTACTACACACAGGTTACACTGTAAGTCAATGACTACATCAGATTTCAGATTATTCTATGGAATTACTCTAGTCATTACATCTCCTGTAACCAATTAACATTAGCATCCTGGAATATCAAAAACTTTAATATGAGCTGATTACCCCCCATAAATTAAGTTGAAACAATTGTTTTCATAAAGATATGTGGTCTCTGTTTAAGATAAATATTCTATTATACAGGATGTTGCACTGTTTGGAGGAGGAAAAATACAGATGGGTTAGGTTTCAAAGTTGTCTCTTGTAGCCAAAATAAATTTTTATTGTAGTTCCAGACAGCTTTAGTTTTAATAGGCGTTTAAACTCAAAAGCTGTGGGTTTTATACTAACTCAGTGCCTACCTTTAAAAGCCTTACTAATAGGAAGTGAAAAGCATTACAGAGATGAAAAAGCAATTCTCTAAGAACCTAAAGCAAGAACAGATGGAACGTTTTAATGCAGAGTTAGTGTAAACTATTCCATATTGTTTCTGATTTCCTGTAACACTGAATTTTTGTAACAGCAAGTCAACATTGTAACATTTTAAACACAATGCTCTGATATGAGCTGGACTATAGAGTCTCTGACTTCTCCAAAACAGATTTCAATTTCTAATGAAATAATAATGGAAATATTTTGTCTCTCTGGTGCTTGTCTGAGACATGTCAACTGTGCACTCCAGTGATGTGGATTTCCTAGAGCCATTAGGGATATAAACACCACAATATTAACTTCCATTCCCCTGTTCCATCCAGGTGCTAGTTAAGGCAGTTAATACTTCCAACTTGAGCAAGTTAATGATAAAAGCCATCAGTACAAATGCAAAGGTCTTCAAGTTCAGAGTCCAAAGCACAGGTTTTTCCCAAGTTTTCACTATGAGATCCTTTTATATATGTTCTTTACCTTTGAAGTGTGTACTGATGGCTAATGAAAACTCCCCATTTGCCTGTAAAAATCACTAAACCAGGCTATTATTATCTATTTCCTGCAATATTCTTGAAAGGCAGAAACCAGTCTGCTCTTCCTACAAAAAAAATTTAATGCTAATGTTTTCCAAAATGTGTAGAACACAGTCCATAGAAATATGAGCCAAAAGGCCAAGTTCATGACCTTCACTCAATAAAGTCTGACACAGCCACACCAAGGAGCCACCCAGCCCAGCACCTTATCTTGCAGCATGACCAGTAACAGATGCTCACAGAAGAAGGGACCATGTGTAGAGTGATCCTTTCCTTGCTGTAGCCTCACAGCTTCTGGCAATCAACAACTTACAGACTTCCTGAGCCCAAAGGCGCGTGAGGACAGTTGTATTTAATAGCACCAATGGCCTTTTCCCCCATACATTAGTGTAGCACCTCTTGAAACTCCTGACTGTTGGGAGGCTTCAAGCCCATGGCTATGCAATGACAAAACATAAGTGACTTCTAACTTATGCTTCTGATTTCTAACTTATGAGCTGTCCAGTGTGCACTCTCTTTGCTGGTTTTTAGATTCTCTAGTGCTCTGAATTTTTTTAAAAAGTACTACTATTTATTTTCACACTTTCCCCCACAAATAATATGTGAAAAATCATAAAGAGCTCTATTATTGTTTGATTTCACTTCTCTCCCTCTTTCCTGCTGCCCCTCCTTTCAAGGTTAGCTTACCCACATTCAAAGAGTAGTCTGCCAACTCTTTCATCCCTTAGCCTGCCTGCTTCTTGCTTCTTCATGCCTTCTCCCGTGGATCACCTCCTCTCCCAGTCCCCCAGTGCATGGCTCTCAAAACTCCACACTAGGAAGGGTTCTGCAAACACCTGGCAGGCTCTGGCCCTCACTCTGACAACTGTCATATTGAAAGAAATAAAATCATATGAAGTATGAATGCAGGCCTAAAAATACTGTGCCTTCTTAGAGTCCAGTAACTTTCTTGGCTTCTCTGCTTGCTTTGGTTCTCACTCTTCAACAGCCTGTTTGGTACAGGCATTTTAACAAAGGTGTTTATTTTTACTGTGTCAGTTTCAGTGAACCAGGGCTAATCCATGATCCCCCTTAATTATGACAATCTCCTCTCAAGGTTTCACAAGCACATTTTTTCCTCATCTTCCACAATCAGATGAAACTTAAACTGCCATAACCAAACTTTCTTCCAGCTAATATGACCATGTCAACAGTCATTCCTATCCCTTTCCTACCTTCCCTTGAAAGCCCATAATCAATTTACATATCTCATTACATCTCACTGAATTTCTCCTTGATTTTCTGGTCCTGAGCTGCAGGGTGAAACTCACTCACCAGGACCATGGGAGAGGTTCTGTAAAGCTCAGCTATCTCCCACACTATCCCTCTTGTGCACTATAAGTGCCTTTTCCTTTTACACTGCCCCTCCCCGCCTCAGCTTCTTCACCGTTCCACACCTTCTTGTCCATTTGAGTTCCTTCAAGGAACTTTGTAACAATGATTTAAATAAAATAAATCGTTTATAATTTCTGAGTTAGTTTAAGAACAGATCCAAACTCAGGATGTCTGACTCACCCAGACGCTGAGGGGAAATGTTGGTGTCTGCTGTTGGGCTGCAGAGCTCAGAACTACTGTAGACATTGTACAAGTCTCTTCCCCAGTGAAACGAACAGTGGGCCTTACGTATTTCCAAGAAAAAGTGCTGATGAGGGGACAATTTTTACACATATCAGAAATGCAGAATTCTTCACATTACCTTCTTATTCTCCAAAAGAACTTCTGCATAACAAAAAAGGTGAGAGGCCTTCACATAGCAAAGAATGCAGCCATCAGAAGCTGCTTTACTCTTGATTGGCCTTTATTTCCATTCAAATCTGTGAGCTCAGTTAAGGCTTTGCAAATACAGTAATTTTGACTGCTCTGAGCTGTCTGCCCATGTCTGTACCTGTGCTCCATCTGAACTGAACTGTGTGTGGGAACGTAAGTTCCTGGTGCACAGGGAGTAGTTGGATGCAGTATGTTCTGTGTCTAAAATTAGAGATGATTATGGAGACCAAGAAGTTATAAATTTTTTTAAATGTGCATTTAAAGCACTGCCTGGATTAAAAATTGTATTTTGATTGTTGCAAAAGTTTAATGAGCTCTAATAACTTCTGTTCAAAACCAAATGTGTAACCTCCAAATCAGAGTGGCTTACAACTCCCTCCAGTTGTTAAACACTCTCAAGATGAGAATTATAGATAGCACACAAAACATTTGAAGCTCTGGCCAACAAGAAATGTATCCTAAGTGGCTGGTTTCTACTTTGTTCAAACTACGACCCATTAAAATGCAGACAGATTTAAGATAGGATTCAGGTCTGTGTTCAGGCAGTTCTGTAGAGTAACCCAAATAAATATCCAACAAATTGGTTTGGATGCCTGTGTAAACAAAAGGTCTATAAACAACTGCAATAAATCCCAGCGAAAGAGTCTGCATTTTGCTTGGAAGAATGTTTTCTTTATGCACTTAGATTAACAAACCATGATCTCATCATTAGTCAACAAGATACTAGAGAGACCATCAAAGCAAACTACGGGAGAGTTAAGATTGATTCATGCCAAACAAATGTTTGTAGCTAACAGCTGTATTACCACTGATTCTAATTTACTCAGCAGGATTCTCCTTTCATTTCCGAAGTGAGATGAATGTCACAATGCATGATGTAGACACAATGTCTACCTGCTGCACGAGCAGTGAGCTATGTCAGCTCTCCTGAATCACACAATCTCTTGCTGGTTTTAGGTATCATGAAGAGTTGCATCCTGGCATTTTTTACCTTAGCAACAAGAATCCTAAAGGTGACCTGACCCATCCTGAGAAGTCTGTGAGCTTAGGATGCTACACACATGCCCCATGTAATGACTCAGGAGGGCTACATTAGCATTCATTCCTGCTTTTGCAACATCTTTCTGATCCTAACTTGTACAACTTGTGCTTCCTGATTGAGAAGGAGTTGTTATCGTTTTCCTTTCTTTGTGTTTTTGGTAGCATTTAGGGAGCTGTCCTTGGGCAACTGTTGTGCCTCTTTGCCTAAGAAAGATACATGTCAAAAGGGTTCACCTTCTTAAAATCAATACAAACAGCCTATCAGCCCTATCAAGAGTTTAGTCACGGCCTTTCATGGGGCCAGGATTTAAGGCAAAGAACAAATGAGCCGTTTATAGCTTAGGATTCTCTCCAGGAATTTCTGATTGGGATTGCCTTTTCACTTGTGCTGCACTATTCACTAGGCTCTTTATAGGGCATTGCACAGTCAAATAAAGCTGCTGGTATTTCAGATTTGCTTGTCCTTGCCGGAGACACACCCTGAACATGCCCGGAGGTTCTAAAATGCTTCTCAGAAAGATTTTGCATATAATCTGGAATTTATAGAAAATGAGGCAGCAGCATGGGTTTGAAGGTTTTGCCAAAATACTGACATCAAGTGCCTCCATAGCTGGAGAGAGAAAACTGTACTTTCAGAAAACATAGAAAAATTCTGTCTGGTCATACCATCTCCCCAAAACTTAATCAATCTCTTGTAACTTCAAGCAATTACTATTCTTCAGATATGCTCTCAAGAAAGGCAACAAAGGTATTATTTAAAATGACTCACTGATGATGTATGTCTCCTTTGCCAAATTTTGCAATGCCCATGGAATCTTTTAATCTGCACAGTTCCCTGTGTTACCTTCACTGTGGTAGTGTGCAAGAAAATGCCCTGCTGTTCAGCTCGACTGCTGTTCCCCTACATTCAGGTGTTCCCTAGTGATTTGCCATGTATGTATGATCAAAAGAAGGTTCAGAGCAGGGGAGAACTCAGACATTCTGAATGATAGAGCTGTAGAGGAAGTACCACGAACCTTGGAGGTTTGCTTTTGACTCATGAGACTTCTAGTGCTTTAACATAACAGGCAAACCCACGTATGCAGAAAATGGAAAATTAAAGAACATGAAAGGCAATAAACTGTTTTTCATTTCTGCACAAATTATTTAAAATGTGACTGCTTAAGCTGCTTCTTGAAAGAGACATTAAATTTCCAAGTACAGGAGGCATAAACAAGCGACAGTCAAATGTATTAGGTCATGATATACTCTCAGTGCCTAACGTCATACCCTTCGCAATCCAGGACTTAAAGGACTATTCTTCACACAGCCTTTCTTGCACAGGGGTGCCTCAAAATGCTTGTTTAATCTTTGTTGTTGTTGTTGTTCTGCATAACAAATTGTTTTCTTTGAAACAAGCCAAATTACATCTGCCTCACCCTCCGTGCAGTTTACAAGGTTATGGTACTTCACAAGCTATCCAGGGATACTCCTGATATCAATCTTGAAGCCTATTCAAAACAGGGATGGGGAGTCAGGGCTTTCTCTGCCAACATTCCTGCTGAATAATCGCACAGCTCCATTATCTGTGGGGGAGTCCTCTCTTCCAGCGTTCCCTTGCAAGGCTGTTCTGCCTGTTGGGAGCTCGGGGATAGAGCTGAGAGACACCGCAGGAAGCGTGTACTGAAAGGCCATGCAGATTGCAACACTATCACTTATCCCTTTCATGCTGTCTCTCTCCATAAAGAGAGGGTCGGTCACAAAAGGCCGCCTTTGTCACTAAATAACCACAGCGCTGGTGCCTTCCCTAAGACTTTTCTCAACGTGTAAGAGCACAGGGCACAATGGGAGCACAGGGAACAAAAATGCTTATGCTGATTTCTAGCGGGAAGGACACAGTCAAGCTTTCCATTAAATTTGGACTTGGAAACTTGATAACAACTTATCTGTATTAAAAATACTCTGGACCATACTTTTCCAAAATAACACCATTGTCTCCAAGCCCTTTGGACTTTAATATTTGCCATGTACATTGTATTTGGATTTGCCTAATTGCCTGTCACTTATTGGCATAGAATCCTTTGGAAATCTCTACTTACATTGTACAACAGTACAAAACTGTTTTGACATTAAAGTGGAAAGGAAGGCAGAGAGGTGAGGGCTGCATACATTGCTCTGGCTTCCCTGAGAATTTCTGAGGGGGAAGGGGTGGTTGTTGTTTTTGAGAGAGGGAGGTTCGAGGCAGTGAGGGTGTGAATGGCATTGGCTGGCACTGGCTATAAACACAGAACTCTGCTTTGCAGTGTAAGTTTTCAGCACAGTTGGAGAGGCTGGAATTTCCAGATGACATGCTCGATGTATGAGGTGGGGGTGGAAGGCAGAAAGGGTCCTTCTTTTTCAGGTTCACTTCTGGCTGTCAGTCAAACATAGCAATAAAATCAGCTCCAATTAAGGGGATATGCAAGGAATTTCATGATAATGTCAACACTCCATTCCATCAATACTTGGATAAAGAAAAATAGCCCTTTAAAAAAAAAAAAAGAGAGAGAGAGAGAGAAATAACCTCAGTCACACTCAACTGTGGTATCACCAGATAAACAGTTAATCAAAAAAGTACACGAAGTGGTTGACAACTCCTTCATTATCCTGTGGGGGGTTTGCTTTGTTTTTTTGGTTTTATTTTTTTTTTTCTTTGGGGGCCCTGGTTTCTGTTTCATTTGCCTTCTGATTACTCCAGTGCTGACTTAACTTTCTCTAGCAGACTGCCTTCAATTCTCTGAGAGGTTCAGCTTCTCATCCATTAACCCCTTGCTGCAAGAAATCTCACTCACATAACCTTAGAAATAGAAAATAGATAGAGAAACTAGAGAAAAAAATCCACCTCTGGACTCACTCTCATCTCACTTCACATCTAACTTTCTGTGTGACATTAAAACATGTCCCAATTAGAAGAAAGCACTTATCAAGGTTCTCAGGCTTCTCAATATTCCATAGGTTTAATCCTGTGTTTAAACATGTAGGAGCCTAAATCTACCTGTGATTACTTCCTTAGCTGCATAATAGGCACAGTTACACTGCACCAGTATAAAATCTAATCTGGTTTGGATTTGTTGATCCAGGGAGAGAAGAATTACCAGGGAGCACAGCTGCCTGTCCAACTGTACTGATGTGGAAACATGTCAAATATGTAGCTGTCAGATTTCTACTCCATTTAACCTACTCTCATGTTCATTGGCGAGGTCTGCAGTTTGTGGCTGCTCCAGCCACGGGGCTGCATTCTGCTCCGGTTGACCCCACAATCTACAAAGACATTTTGGAGGTGCTTTTGACCTCCTCAACCCATATTAAGATTATCTGTGGTGCAGCTGCGGGTCAGATCTGGGATGGTGCTTTTGTAACTCTTTGCCCTACTTGGTATTTTGTTACGTGCTGTTAATCCTGCAGGGGAGGCTGATGATTTCATCAGAATTTGACACATTAAACCTTGGAAACATGTTAGTGGTTTGGATGGAAGAAATTCTAGTTGCACCAATTTCAAGTTTTTCATTTAGCCCTCCTAAAGCCCCCTGAAAGAAAGCCCCAAGCCATTTTAGCAAGGATACAAATGGATGAAGGGTACCCACACTTGTGCTGTGCCTCATCCCCTCTCAATTTTTGGGGGAAAAAAGGGAAAGCTGCCACTGCTGATGAACGTGTTTGATGGAAGAACCTGCTGGACTGGCTAAAGCTCTGCACTGGTGATAGCCAGTCTTGGCTATTAAAGTGAACTGCATGACTACGTTCCCTGTAAAATGTGTCTCCATTTCCTTTCAGGTTGGGAAGCTGATCCAAGAAGCAGCTGGAAGGAGTAATTTGAAGAGAGTTACACTGGAGCTGGGTGGGAAAAGCCCAAACATTATTTTCGCAGATGCTGATTGTAAGTCAGCACTTCCATATTTTTCTTAAAAACATTTTTTGGTGGTTTTTTTTATTTCCCCCTCCCCCCCCCATTTTAGGGCACATCCTTTTTACAAAGTGATGTGAATTAATACAGTTGTATCTAATTGCACTTTTCAATCTTACAGAAGCAGCCTAAGGTGAGCTATTTTTTATAAAAAAACAACATTTGGACCCACAGATTCATAGTCAACAAAAAAGCAGAAAAAACGTTATAACCAAGCATATAGACAGGGTGTTATTCACAGTCATGATCCCATACACATTTGTCATACTAGCCTCTGCAGCAAAGTGATCTAGTGCTTTAAGTCTGGAAATTCTGTGATTTATTTTTGCTTCACAGCCTTTATAAAATGGGAGGACTTTCATTTACACCTGAGTAGCTAATTCAGTCCGTGCAGTATTCCTTTGTTAAGTTACTATAAATGGAGATTATTCCCTTTTTTAATTTTCATAATTGAAGAATTGTGTATTGAAATATCTTCATTGCCACTGTCAGCAGGGAGCTGAAAGTTTTGGCAGAGATATGATGTTGTGCAGCTGAGATTTTTGGCACCTGAGAAGGTACAGGATAGCTGTTTAGGATAGGATATAAACACAAACTGGAAGTTTCTGCTTAAATGATCAGCGAAGAAATAGTTAAAAATGTTGATATCTAAATTGTCAACAGGAGGTTTTGAAGTTAACACTCCATTAAGATGAATGAGACGGTTCACACCTTGCTCAGAGCTCTTGTTTCAGGCTGTGTGCAGGCACACCATACTCAATGCCTTCTCTGAGAACTTTGTAACCCCAATAAATAGACACACAGGGATTTGGTCTTCTAATTTAAAAGGGGAAGTGAATAGAAGAATGGTTCTGAACAGCATCAATTGCAAGAGTTGGTTACAATTCTGTACCCATTTTCAAAACTTATCAATGTCTGAAAGACTAGGGAAAGTTTTAACAACTTCCAGCAGCTTTTCTCCATAGAAATGTTTTACCAAGCCAAGGATCTACATTTCAGCCACAGTCATCCTGGAAAGCTAAAAAAGCTCCTGTCAACCAGAGCCAGATGCAGATGTTACAGCCTTCTACCCCAGTTAATCCCCCATCTCCCAACAGATATCACTACACCTCAAATGCCCCTAAGCCGCTAACTCACACTGGATCACCTGAACATTTCTAGTAGACTGATACATGCCGGGGGCAGGTCTGTGTTCTGACCTTCCATCGGGGAAGAACTCCTGGCTGCCACACAGAGCTGTCATTTTTCTGTGATGAAATTACAGGCAGCAGGGGAATAACAGACACAAAGGAGAGTACAGTCTTCTTCAAGACTGTTGGTTCCACAGTAGAAAGCTCTCTAAAGCTCTCTGGTCTTCCCACAATTACAACCTCAAGCACTTGACCTAAAATTTAGACTTCAAAGCTCTGATTATTTAAGAACAGCAATTTGCTCACCATTCTAAAGGAACTGTTTGTTCTGCTTGAAGAACACTGTGTGCCAAAAGTTAGCAGAAAGCATGATAAAGCTGTTGAAAGTTTAGTGCACAAAAAAGCCTCAGAGAAGAATGGTTAGACCCCCTCGTGGTGAAAAACTGCTAACAATAGAGGAAGAAACATCATTTAATCCCATCTATCCACTAGTGCTTTCAATCTCCACGGAGCTGCCTGGGAAATTTTGAATGTGGTCCAGGGAACACCCCATATAATTTTTCTGAAGACCACACTGAGGGCAGAATAAGATTTTTCTGTTAGATGGAGCTGTCTAGAATGTGCTGAAAGTAAAGCACAGTTGCTTTGTTTAGTCCATAGAAGATTATACTTCAAGGAATGTTCCAAAGTGCTGCAGTTGGTATCAGAGGTATTGCAGTGCTGTGGGGCATCACTGTCTAGGGCTGAATTCATTCTTCTTGTCTCATCAGCTATTACACCCAAAGGAAGAATGTAGCTCTGAATGTCTAAATATGACTGGATCCTCCCTCCTACTTGGATAGAGAATGTGTTAGTTGTACCTCCAAGGAAGTCAGAGTAGAAATCAAGGGCTGATGGTCCTATAACTGACCTATAATTTTACAGCCTTACCCAGTCATCTATATAGGCCAAGAAGATGTTTCTGTATTGCAGAAAAAGACTCTGGCATTTTGGAAGGACAAGTCTTGCCATTTTTTTGCCAAAAGTCAAATTCTTCCAAGTCCTTGGTTTGCTGTAATTCTCTCACACATGCAGTATTAAACCAAGTGACAGCTTGGGAACATTGACAAATTTTCCCCTCTTATACTGACCCCAGTCAGACAGACTTTATATGAGGCACATCCCGCTTCCTGGGGTCTCTTAAAAGACCAATTGATAAATGATGTGTTTCTGGCATATAAGACACTGGTGAAGTTGTTCTTGCACACCCTACTCCTATAGACTGCTAAAGCGCTGTCTTGGTTTAACTTCTGCAGTGGGAATATTGTGTGACTTGTGTCACGAGGTGGCCTGTGGAAGGTGTTACCTGTGGACTCTACCTAGGTGATGCCTGAAGTCACAAGCAGTCCCTTGAAGTCTAGTGTTTCTGAAACAGTTGTCATGCTCCTTAACATCCCTCCAGTACAGCTGTGTCCAGGGTGCAAAAATGAGGAAAAAAATCAATTCTGGACATGATTTAAAGCTCTGTATTTTCACAGGAATTATGACACAAAATGAATCAAACTCATTTGTGACCTGATAAAACCACAGTATGTTTTGATTCAGGTTTTTTTTAACCAAATCCTACTTCTGAAGTTTTGGGAATGTGGCACTGTGTAATACACGACACCGGTGCAAGAGCAGATTTGTCTACAGTGTTTCAGTGCAACATGTGCTGTCTTGGTTTTTTAGTGGACTATGCTGTGGAACAAGCTCACCAAGGGGTGTTCTTCAATCAAGGTCAGTGCTGCACTGCAGGCTCACGGATTTACGTGGAAGAATCAATCTACGAAGAGTTTGTCAGAAGAAGTGTAGAACGGGCAAAGAGGAGAGTTGTGGGGAGCCCTTTCGACCCAACTACAGAACAAGGTCCCCAGGTAAAGGAACTGTGCTTCAGCTCCACAGCCCAGCCTGGAAGTGTTTAAATGCCACTAAGACAGAGGTCAGTCAGTGCACACTCACTCGCAGTCCAGGGTAGCTGACATGATGTTTTCAAGATTAAAATTCTAAAGGCTTAGATAATCTGTGCAGCTCTGAGGTGCTTCTTGTTAATTAAAAATCTCATGTTAAATATCAATATTTGCCTCCCAGTTTTAAGAGCAAGATTTGGATCTTCAGCCCCCAAGATATAGCTGTAAACTGTGAGAAGCTCTCTAAAGTGTGAGCACTGACTTTCAAGAATTGTCTACAAGCATAACTCTGCTTGTAGGCCCATGAATTCTAAGCAAATAATGAACATAATCAGAAATAAGTATTTAGAAAATGTTTCTGCCACTAATAACCATCTGGGATTATACCATTTTCAGGAAGTTAACTTGGGACAAAAATTAATAATCTGCTTTTTTTGTCCTTACAAACTAGATTGTTTAGCAAGAATGTGGGTTGAGCCACAAACATAAGGGAACACACCCTAAGAAGACTGAGCCCAAGGTCACAGCCAGCAGCTACTTGTAGATCTTTGCCTCTCCAGCTCAAAGAGTACTCAATATAAGCATGAGCCTGCCCACTGGGACGTGACTTGCCTAAAAACCCTTATTCTGACTCAACTGTCAAGTACATGGTCTGCAATTCTGCTTCTTCTCTCTTTCAGATTGATAAAAAACAATACAATAAGATCTTGGAACTGATTCAAAGTGGCATTACAGAAGGAGCAAAACTCGAATGTGGGGGTAAAGGACTAGGAAGAAAGGGCTTCTTCATTGAACCTACAGTGTTTTCCAATGTAACAGATGACATGAGGATTGCCAAGGAGGAGGTATTTGCACAAGATCATTTTAGAATGTCCTAAACGTGACTTTTTTTTTTTTTTTTTTGCTTTTGTTTAATTCCTGAGACCAAAGCTTCAGAGTGAAAATTACCACTATATTTTAAAAAAACTAATAAAATCTTTTCAGAACTCCTTATGCACACAGCAGCTGACACCAGTTGGGAAAGGAAGCTCAATTTTTGTCATTGGCTGTAAGGTCTCAGACCTCAAGGAGGAGATAAAGGTAGAATAGATGAGTTCCACTGAGGCAGCTGCTTTGGGAAATTCATGCAGTTTTACAGACAGATATTACCAGTATTAAATCTTGCTGCAGAAACAGGAGAGAGAAGATAAATAAAAAAGCGGAATAAAATGCATCTGAGTGGGCCAGTTTAACAACTGATGATTAATCTTTGTTGCAGATTTTTGGGCCCGTCCAAGAAATACTGAGATTTAAAACCATGGATGAAGTTATAGAGAGAGCCAACAATTCTGATTTTGGGCTGGTAGCTGCTGTCTTCACAAACGACATAAACAAGGCCCTGACAGTCTCTTCAGCAATGCAGGCTGGAACAGTCTGGTAAGCAAAAGTTACCACACTCCTGCTCTTGAAGACAAAGAGTTTGACTCACTATCATTATATCACCTCAGTCTTGCACCCTTTCTTTAAAAATATTTATCTAGACAGTCCTAGTGGTGAATCACTAGCCAAGACATGGAACAGCTGCAGGGGGTGTTGGGACTGCTCCCTGCTGGGAAATGCTATTGAAAGTAGAAAGCACCTTGCCATTGCTGAATGGCAGGACTGAAAACAAACAGGATAAAGGATCCTCTGTGCACAGAAGAGGATTCCTGTGAAGTTTCTGCCCAAGGCACAAAGAACTGTGTACTTTCTACATTAAGGAACTGAGGGGACACATCCTCTTTAGTCCTTAGGAGTATGTAATGCCACCTCCAGAGATGAGTAGCCTTCAATTTAATATGTCAAGCCTGGGTAAACTAAAGATCTGCAAGAAATTAGGGAGAAAAAGGGCAAATTCAAATGTAATAGCTCTAAGGTATAAACTGGCACTGAGGTTTGTCAGCAGATTAACAGTTCATTACTGAAGCTGTGCCCAAGTGTGGGGTCTTCTCTCCCCAGTCCTCACAGGTCAAATCCCATTGTCGTTATGAGTAAGGAGCAGAATGGGTTTTTTCAGCACAAATCCCTCATTTCTTTTCAACATGAAACAAGCTAAGAGGCATACAGTGTCCTCAGCTTCACAAGTTTCAGCCTCTCCCTGAGTTATCCAAAGGTCTCTGACAGCGCAGCTGGACTTAATGCCTCTTCCTGTTACAGGATAAATTGCTACAATGCCTTAAATGCCCAAAGTCCTTTTGGAGGATTCAAAATGTCTGGCAATGGGAGAGAGATGTAAGTATTACACTGCTGTTTCCTAAATTGTTTTCAGCTCTACAACTTAATAGACATTAGTGGATCCTTCCATGCAAATTAAGATCAGGAAATATCCCAACCTGAGAATCAGAGCATAATAATATAATATAAGGTGACTTTTAATCCTTGCAGGTACTTAATGCAATTGATTTACATGCTGAGACCACTTTTCTGGCTTTTTTTAATATTGCAAACTATTTACTGGAACTCTCTTCTTATCCTGAAAGGAACTGAAATGTTATGAGTATTTTTCTGAACTTGAAAATGTGCTTTCTGAAAGTTTTTTTAGCCATATTAACCATTATTTTTTCAGAAAAACCCCCTTTTTGGTACTGCTTATTCACTGGTTTGGTGTACTTGTTTCAGAGTTGTTTTGCCATATATTTTGCCTCTCTTGCTTTTTTCCCTTTTCTTTCTTCAGTTTTTACTGCATTTATTAATATAGGTCATCTGAATCTTATAAAGAAGTTATCAGCTTGCAGATTTATAAACAATGTTAAATGAAATCAGACCTAGAGAAGGAGACAAATGTGTTTACATCCCTTTCAAAAAATCAGTTTCCATTACAAAGCTTTCTGCCTTTCTTATTCCATTTAGAACTAAGTGCCAAATATTTTGAAATGGAGCTCCACACCCAAAAACTGCTCCATGTAGCTAATTTAAAGTCTTACCAGTTTTTCATTCTCATTACAATCACAAGGAAGTTTAGCAATTGCATCAGCCCCAGAGTGGTTACATACAAAGGATTCAATTAATTTCTGTCAGGAGGCATGTATGTGTACCAGATATGTCTCACCTAAGTTTTCAAAATAGCTTATGGCTAATAGCAAACTCAGCAGTAAAACTAAAGTAGGGTCAAAGTCTTTAAAACTTTAAATATGTTGAAGTATACAACTTGATCTATAAAATAAGCTCTATGTAGTCTGAAGTATTTTCCCTCGTTAGGGAGTACTTTGAATAACACATTCATACTATTCTCCACATTCATGAGTTATGAGGTGATCTCACACTGGCATAAATATGTCAGCTCATCTAACTCTTATCATTGTGAAAATATTCTAAAACTACTAAGCTCGATAGAGCACTTGAGTAACTTGACACCCGAGAGCGACCCCACTGACTCCAGGGAGGTTCACTGTGCAAGCAAAATATTCACGTATTTGTGGCCTAGAGTTCTTGAAAGGGGAGAAACCGGGCAGTGCCCCAGCTCCCATGGAAAATCTGTGGTAGCTGCACACTTGATTCCCATCTACAGCTTTGAAATTATTCATCAGAAACAACAAATGTTTGGAATGGCAATAATCTCCATCTCTCAAAGATGCCTGAAAACCTACTTAGGAGTAATTATTCTACTCTGTCAGAACCTCTTTGATCAGATATCACCTCCTAATTCACCTCCCCCACCCTGCATTAATACCTGCATACCTTTTATTTAAATGCCACAGTTTCTTAGATCCTTGTTTTTAGGGGATACATTTTACAGCATAAATAATGTTGAGTCAGGCAATTAAAGGAAATAAAAAAAAAAAGAAACAGTGTTCATACCTAAGTGTGTCATTGCTAATCTAATACTGTGTTACAGCCAGATCATAACTGTGCCACTGTGCTGCTTGTACTATCTGGGACTTGTTTTGGTCCTGCATTTAAATTCACAGGTTTTCATCACACATGGGCAAAAAACAAACACAGAAAGTTGCAATCTGTTATATTAATTTTACACTTCCACAGAAGTGCATCCCAGTAGAGAACCGGAACTCATGTCCACAATACAGCTGATTTCTGTTTGCATTAGGACTGCTAACAATATTCTTGTATTCTTGAAGGGGTCTAAAAGACACGGGTTTTTTACATTCATGCTTCTTTAAAGCTCCATGTCACTACCTGGGTGATGTAAAATATAACTCCTGTAATTAAAAATTGGGTGACTCATCCCAGATAACCACATGTGGCCATTTTATATTTAGAGTTCCCCAAAATTCTGCTTTCTGTCCACATGTCTTCAAGGGAAAGAAGTGCCATTCTACCTCAGAACTATCCTTTAATGTCACAGGAATTATTATTGTCTGGATAGCTCCAATATAGAGCAGTGCACAGTTGAATTCCAAAAAACAAGTGCAAGCATGAGAAGGGCTTGGAATTGTAATTCTTTTCCTTATCTTTTTTCTCTTGGACTGCGGGAGGGAAGAGAGTATGCAATATTTCTTCTTGAAAAACAGTTTGTTTCCCTTCCCTCATACCTACACAACCAAGACATAACACCATGCAGAGTTGACCCATGGGCTCCTTCCTTTTCACAGACACAACCCTTGTTCTCACCCTGATACTGAAATGCAATCCAAGAGGACTCAGAGTGGCAGTAGAATAGGATGTTATTGCTCACTGTATTAGGCTGTGGGGACAAGCAATTCCTTTAAGTGAACACACACAGACTCTTCTGCTCTGAATGTCTGGCATAACCCATCTTCCTATTCAGCAAGTGCAACTTTGTAATTTAGAAAAATACTTACCTTAGAATTCATCACCACTGTCCACTTCCAAACTTTTGGCCAGAAAACAGATGCTTAAAGCCCTGAAGCCTTGAGCTGAATAAATAGACAATAAATGTCTCTAATTTTGTTTGGCAGACCAAGATAAGAAACTAACTGGCAGTTGGGACATGGATAAAATCGCTGGCCATGCTGTAGGCCAGGTTATCTATTGGCTTGCAAAAACGTGTCCAACAGGTGTCTGGAGCTACACACATCTCTTAAGCATAATTATCCAAAGCAGAACATGTGTCCCTCAGAGCTATGGGGCAGACAACTGGGACGAAGGAAGTAGCTGGTTTTTAGCAGCATGGAGGATCTTATGTAGGGTGCTGTACCAGGACAAAAAGAAGTTTTCTGCAGAAATCCAGAGGGAATCTGAGCAGGCTGAACTCTCTTCCACAGCATGTGCAAATGGTGATTCCTGCTGCTGGATATTTTGCCAGGGAATAAAGATCAGTGGATTATGAGTCAAGTTCATCTTTATGCAGGGTTGTGAGTAGTTCATTTTTCATTGTACTCAGCGTGGACCTTCTCTTTCTTGAGAGCAAATGTAAGCAGTAATTTCACTGGCCAGTGGTGTAGGTCTTGGTGTTTGCACATTTTTAAGGTCTGGAAAAGACAGAGAACATCAATTCACTCCCAAAAATTTCATCAACAGACAATGAGAATTTCTGGGTTTAATGTTCTGTACCTCCTTATGAAAGGTTGGAGCCATCCATCGTTATTTTGACCTAAACTGAACTGAAATTTTAGGTTATATCTTAATTTTATCAAGAAATCACTTCATAGGTTTTTGCTCGCTATCTGGTATAAACTGATGCTGCAATTTATTTTCCAGGGGTGAATGCGGATTGAGAGAATATTCTGAAGTTAAAACTGTGACAATAAAGATCCCTCAGAAGAACTCCTAAAATGATGAAGGACCCTGTTGTGCAGAAGAGCACATGATGCCACCTTCTCTATTCCTTATGGAGACCAGCACTCAGGAATAAAAAGTGTTACACAATATATATTTAAGAAATTAAGTTACAACATATATACTGGGCACATAACTGCGTACATAAGGCAAACCAGCTCTGCATGTTTTCATAAAACTCTCCTGAGAATCATTACATCTTTATAAAAGCAATTATAAAAAGAGATAAAATTGCTATTGGACATCATTTAATAACGGTTCTAGCTATAAAACTGTTAAATGCAAATGCATGCACACACACATTTATCTCTTCTTTAAATAAACAAAATAAGTCTTACTGCTTTCAGGTTGCCTTCTCAAACAGACTTGCCTTGTACTGACATTGTTTTGACCAGGGCTCTATAAGATTTTACCCAAAACACTAACAATCAACAATACAAACAAGTACCACTGATGTTCTTAAAAAATTAAAAGATTCTGAACGGTGATGACCCCAAACCTGGTAGACTGGCAACGTTCCAATTAGCACAGTCCCATAAAGAGGTCACACTGGGGAGGGAAACAATCTGCTGTATGAACAATGAAAGCCAAATACTTATCAGTGAGGTTTGGCTTTCGTGACTCATGGTGATTTGGATTTCAAAGCTTATTTCATAATTACTTTATGTCGCGCTAGAAGCAAAAAGTCCTCCTTCACTTACAGGAACTTGAAGGGTTTTACCTGCCTGCCAAAAGAGCAAGGCCAGACAGGGTGGGAGGGTGTTAACAAGAACAGGAACAGATCCCAATGCTTCACAGAATATTTCAGCTTTCACTGCTTGTCTAGTTTTGTTATTGTTGTTGTTGTTACTGTTGTTGCTTTCACCGTTTCTCTTTTTTTAAACAAGTATATGCATACGCAGGCTTCATTTATTTGTCTGCTATTAACCTGCCTGGGATTACACTGGGAATCGTTAGGTTACAGCAAGAACCCAGCCTAAGCCCACCTGGCAAGAACTAAGCCTGACTGAATTTTTTTATTAAATGATGGCTCTCCGTGCCTGTGAACTTCACGTAGTGTTACTGGCTGGTACTGGCTTTTCAATTATGTTTGGGGTCTTTTGGCCCAGAACAAAAACATGAGCAAGTTCTTCTAGAAGGTGTTTAAAGCCTGTCACATCATTACCTGCTGCCCACAGAATCTCTTCCAGCTTTAAACTGACACACTGAACACTATCTCTTCCTTCTTTCCAGCTGCAGAACTCATTGATTCCCCAGACTTTTTTTAAAACAGGTTTCATTTTTATGTTTTAACTTAGAATTAAGGAAATCTATTTTAAAAGTACAGTAAATCATCTACTCTGTGTAGCTACATTATCTGGGGTGTAAGGACAGAATTATGGCCTCAGGTATAGGTTTTCCTGGCTGCAGAGTCTATGCTATGAACTGTTGAAAACTCCAGACCTGATCAGCAAATAATTTCTGCACGTTCTTAGCTTCCTTTACTCTCTGAGGAATTCTTCTTAGATTTGAAGTTGTAGGTGTCCTTCAACATACTGCTGGATTAGGAGTATTAAGAGTGTCCAGCACTTTGTAGTGTGGTGGCCCTCAATATTTCATAACTCATGTCAAACTGTATATGTGTTTTTAAAGCAATACTTACACATGTTCTTATTCAGAAATGACAGTACATTCACAGACATGGAGATAAATCCAAGTATTCCTGAGTTGTTAAATTCAAATGCCATATACTTCTACTGTAGTGTTTGTCAGAGTGAAGAAAAACAAAATACAGCGAGAGATTAGTTATCTTTTAAACTGCAATATAAAATGTGAAAAAGGAGATTTTACTTCTTTTCTCCTATTTACTTAAAAAAGAAACTTCTTGTGCTAACAGCATTTACACCATGTACTCTTTTGTATTCTTTTTGTGTATTTTGTATGTCTGTGCTTTATTCCCAATACATTCAGGTAAATAATATAGAGTTGCCATTTTTTCAACCCTGTCACTGCAGCTCCATTTGATGTACATGGATTTGTGAAATCCTTTTTTAGATGTACCATCTGCATGGATCCAACAAAACATTTTTCCAGTCCCTGCAGCTTTTTGTTACAGTTTTTAATCATGTATATAGTTATATGTTATTAAAAAAGTAAAAGGATATTTTCTATGAAGTTTTTTCCATTAAAAAGGTTTAGAGAAAGACTTTAGACTATGAGACTCCTTTATTGTTGACAGAGCTATAAAAATATTTAAAAAAATATTTTCTTAGCAAAAGATCTGCTCTCACAGTAGCTTTATTTTCATTTGCAAAAGTGAATGAAGTAAAAGGCCAGTTACATTTTCTGGAATATTATTGCAGCTGTATGAAAAACACTTGTGAATTGCAGATCTAGGTCATAGTCAAAGTTCATCCTCACCCTCATGGTCATAAAGTTTAGGTATTGGGGCAGGTCTGAAATCATCAGAAACAGTGGGGCATCCTTACAAACTGCTGCATCACAGCTTGATTTTTGGATAATGTCTAAAAAAATCATGATGCCTTTTCTTTCTCTAGTAGATGAGTCACAGATATAATTAAATTAACACTCGGATCTTTTATGGAGTGATATTCCACTTGTCTTTAATTTCAAAACGCTAAAATGGGAAAAGGACAGACAGTGTTATCTGAGTGCCAGTAAAATTCACATGGCCAGGTACTATGCAACCCTCCCTCAAGCGATCCCTTTATTCCAGGGTTACTTTCATTGCCAGGAACTGCATTCCTCTTTTGAAATGGTGTCTATTTAGCTGAAGTAACTACTCAGTTAATATGGCCAAGGCACTTCATTGTGTGGCAAGCAATGGTCAGACCTCAGTGTTACAGAATAATACTGCTGATTTAATCAACAGTCTACAGACTATGACAATAAAGGAACTTGACTAGAATAGATGGGATAAAAGAGAACAGAACTTAATAACCGGAGGTAAATTGCATTCTCAAAAAGGAGTACCGTTCTTGAAAGCCTGGGATATCAGGTATATATTAAGCAGAGTATCATTTGGCTTTAACAAGTGGCATGGACAGCTCTGTCATGGGACTTTGAGTGGACAAACAGCCCTTTCCATATTCCCCATCTCTCTGACCTGCTTGCAACCTGTCTCACCACTCCAAGCAGTCACACAGGCACAAGCAATGGAGTGCTTTTCTCAAAGCAAAAGAAATGAAGAAAGGTTGTTCTGGAACCCATTGAAAATAAGGAGTGTTGTCATCTAATGAAGGGAACAAAGTTTAGTCCATAGTAAACAAGTATTCTGTGGAGCTCCAGACAGTGAAAAGAAATGTATTAATAAAAGTGTGTGCAGGTTAGTAAAGGGAGAGTTCAGAAATAATGTATTTCTTCTGATAAAAGGACGTGAAGGAAGGCAAAAAGAATTTCACTTCTGCAGCCTTCAGACAAAGCAGTGGATATTGATACTACTCGGACAGCATTCACACATTTATTGGTGCCCTGTTACAGAGAAAGCTCTTTCTTCCCATGGAGGCAAGGATGAAAAAACTTGCCATGTATATGCAGTGGAACTGTGTGTCACAGTGCCCTCTTATTTCTCTGTTCTGTCCTGGAAAAAAGAACCATAATAACACGGAATTCAGGGCAGCAGTTGAGCTGGAGAGGAAGACAAAGACAAGCAATGTACTGTACTGTTTAGCTCTGACTCTGCATGGTCACACCTAGAGCTCTGGAGAGCTACATTTACCACCTTGCATTTGCATCCATACGTCTCCATTTACTGCATGCTAAGTCCATCAACACAGGAAGTTATTTTTCTCATAACAACCTCATACCACAATGACTGATATTCGCAGTGCTGTATCTATCAGGAAGCAGGAAAAGCCTCTGTGGCTATTAGGTGCCATCAGCATTCCCAGCCCATTCAGATAGACTTCTCTCAACACATTAGACTACAGCTGCACAAAACACATCTTTCTTCCTTGCCCTCGTTAAACACATAGTTGATAAATTCTTTCTGTATCTTCACTGTATCTTCTGTGTCAATTGAAAGTGCACAGGTATCAGGGAATTATGTGTGGCCTTGCCAGAAAGCTCAGGGGCTTTTTGAAGCAAACTGTGTGACTTTAGCATGAAGTTAGAACATTTATAAGGACAGATTAGTGAGAGCTGGGGGATGAGAGTAGTGGTATAATAGCACATGATTAAAGTGTGGCTAGGATATGCTACTACTAAGGCTTGAGGTCCCATTTTCCTCTTCCACACAGCACAATGTGGAGTGCTGGGATGCTGGTTTCAAAAGCACTTTCCTAATTTTTCTCAGAGGACTGGAACTGACATGCTGGAATTCAAGGGTAACACAAGTAACAGATGATTACACCTGGCTGCAGTGCAAGTTCAGTCATTTCAGTGGTGCAGAGCAGGTTAAGCTGCTTGTAGCCACAGCTGCTACACTGGGTAGTGCTCAGCACCTGGTTATCTAAGACTTAGGCCCAGAGGCTGCACACACATACAGGGATGAGGATCTGTCCCAAAGACGGTGAGGAGAGGCACAAGGCTGATTCGCCTCTTGCTACAGCCAGGGTAAGTCACCAGAGCTGTTGTGTAATGTACCCAATCCCCTTAGCTAATTGTTAGAGAGGGACAAAAAGCACATCAGCATGCTCCTGCTGCACAAGAATGGTTGATTCTGAAATAGTTCTGAGAGCTGAGTTTACATCCTGAACCCCCACTGAAAACCAACTTCATACTCCCAGCACAGGTACTCTAGAGCTCAGTTACACCATAAAGACTGCATTTATTATTTTTTTCTGATATCATAAATTTAAATCCACTCAAGCCATATGGAAAAGAGGGACTGCACCTACAATCCACTGCTTCTCTATGGTGAGCGTTTGCACTGCTACCTTTCATGGGTTTATAGGATGAGTTTCACCAAATAACAGAACTGCTGTCCTGTACTGCGCACAGCACATACATTTTTGGCTATGCCTGCAGTGCTGGGAAGCACTCCAGGGAATATTTTCCCACCTAATTTCAGGTGAGATTTATAAACACAAATTATGGAGGGCCTTTGCTATCAGCTGTAATACCCTGAAGTCTCCAGTGCCCAGGGAGGCTGGGACATCTGCCGGGGCAATTTGCCTCAAGGGTGAACAAAGTCTGTATTGCTGGTATATTCCCTAGTGCATTACTGCAACCATTCTTTGTATTGTCATTTAATCCGAGTATCTAACAGCAAATCCTGCAATTACAGGATGCTTTCATGGTGTCTTAATCTGCCTGAAGTCTCTTGATGGGACCTGCTAAATAAACGTGGATTGTGCAAGCACAACGGCAACAGACTGTAAGAAAAGCTCCAGCTGC